AAGAGTAATATATATATGGGGAGTGATTTGGAAAGAGAAATTAGGTTTAGGGAGTGTAGAAGAAGTTTAAAAGTGGTGGGGACTGACAAGGAAGTTCAATTATGCATTGGGGATTTATAAGGAATTATCCGAAATAGAGTTGGATTCAAAAAAAGGCCGCACATTGGAAATCCAAAAACTAAAACAAGCACTGTATGGAGGACACGAATACTTTATTACACCAGCCTTTGTTTTGAAACTCTGGGAATTCACATTTGGATATTGGATCGCTTTGTTTTTATTATCTTTATTTTTTATTTATTATATCAAGACTGGAATCCATTTAATTTTTGAAACATTGACTTAATTATTTGGATAAGATCAGTATTTTTAATTAACATTTTATAATAAACATTATTTTTTTTAATTAACCTCTAATAAAAGTGTATGCATTATGTCTAATTTTATATTAACATAGCATAGTCTCTAACAAATATACATACTTTCATATTTAAATGTCGTATTTAGAAACATATTATAGTTGTATGTTCGTATATGGTCTTTGCAATTCTACATGATCATACTTTCCGTTTCATTAAATTGTTGTAGATATTTAAAGTTGACAAGTTTAAGAATCACAAAATAAGCTCATCAATGGACGTATACGAAATAATATAAGCTAATTTATAGTGTAACTTATTTGGTTAGTTTATAAGCTCACTGTATTAAAAAAAAAAAAAATGTCGTTTGGTAGGATAAGTTTTATTAAAAGCTCGAGCTTATTTGATAAGTTTCCTTAGGTAGCTTTTCAAATAAGCTAGTTGAATTTTTCATTTCAACTAGCTTATCAGCTAGTTTTACCAAACACTTTTGTCATATAAGCTAGCTTTTCAGCTATAAATCATAAGTTATAAACTAAAAAATTGCTAATTGATTATCTTATCAGCTATCAGTTAGCTTATCTAAAGGTGGTTTGACAAATTCACACTTGTCTAACTTGAGAACGGACAAATAATGGAGTTTCATAACATAATTTTTATTTTATCTATTGAAGCAGTGTAATTATTAAATAAATTGACATGTCATATTAAAAAAAAATGCACATATATTTTCACTTCTAATCTATATCTATATAATAAGAATTACCATTTACTAAAAATAGTATCTAAAAATTAAGAAGCATTTAATGCATATCATTTTTAGAAACTTTTTAAATAAATGCATTAATTGTTCCTATGTACTCATTTTCAAATAAGATCAAATAAGATATAATCAAAAAATTATTTAAATAAATTTATTAATATCTGCAATATTTTCATTAATATTT